CTAATTAATTTTCTTTGTCTAGGTCTTTCAGTAATTTCTGGTAAAATTTCTTGTAGTCTTCCATTTTTATTCTGTTCTTCCTGATTTTACTAATTAATTTTCTTTATCTTCAGGTCTTTCTGGTAAAATTTCTTGTAGTCTTCTAGCTTTTCTAGTAATTTAATTATTTATTAGGTTTTTCTATTCTTCTGAATTTTACTAATTAATTTTCTTTGTCTTCAGGTCTTTCAGCGATTTTCTGGTAAAATTTTTTATAGTCTCCCTTGGTCTTCTAGCTTTCTGGTAATTTTAATTGTATTGTTAGAGTTTTTTTTCTGTTCTTCCAAATTTTACTAATTAATTTTCTTTGTCTAGATTTTTCAGCGATTTCTTGTAAAATTTCTTATAGTCTCCTAGCTTTTTTGATAATTTAATTATATTATTGCATTTTTATTCTGTTCTTCCAGATTTTACTAATTAATTTTCTTTGTCTTCAGGTCTTTTGATATTTTCTGGTGAAATTTCTTGTGGTCTTCTAGCTTTTCCGATAATTTAATTGTATTATTGAGTTTTTTCTGTTCTTCCAAATTTTACTAATTAATTTTCTTTGTCTTTAGGTCTTTTAGTGATTTTCTAGTAAAATTTCTTATGGTCTTCTCTGGTCTTTGACTTTCTGCTAATTTTAATTATGTTGTTGGAGTTTTTTTTTCTGTTCTTCTGGATTTTACTAATTAATTTTCTTTGTCTTTAGGTCTTTCAGTAATTTCTGGTAAAATTTCTTGTAGTCTCTCCTGGTCTACTAGCTTTCTAGTAATTTTAATTGTATTGTTAGAGGTTTTTTTTTCTGTTCTTCTGGATTTTACTAATTAATTTTCTTTGTCTTCAGGTCTTTTTAGTGAAATTTCTTGTGGTCTTCTGGCTTTTCTAGTAATTTAATTGTGTTATTAGGTTTTTTCTGTTCTTCTGAATTTTACTAATTAATTTTCTTTGTCTTCAGGTCTTTTGGCGATTTTCTGGTAAAATTTTTTGTAGTCTTTCAGCTTTTCTGGTAATTTAATTGTGTTATTGGTTTTTTTCTGTTTTTTCAAATTTTACTAATTAATTTTTATTATCTTTAGGTTTTTCAGTGATTTTCTGGTAAAATTTCTTGTAGTCTCCTCTGGTCTTTTAACCTTCTAATAATTTTAATTGTATTGTTAGGATTTTTTCTATTCTTCTGAATTTTACTAATTAATTTTCTTTTCTTTAGGTCTTTCAATAATTCTAGTGAAATTTTTTGTAGTCTTCTGGCTTTTTTAGTAATTTTTATTGTGTTGTTGAGTTTTTTTTCTGTTCTTCTAATTAATTTTCATTGTTTCACTGATTTCTGATGAAATTTTTTGTAGTCTCTCCTGGTCTTCTGGCTTTTCTGGTAATTTTAATTGTGTTGTTTTTTTTTTTGTTTTTCTAGATTTTACTAATTAATTTTCTTTGTCTTCAGGTCTTTCAATGATTTTTGGTGAAATTTCTTGTGATCTCACCTAGTCTTTTGACTTTTCTGATAATTAAATTTGTGTTTTTGGGTTTTTTTTACTGTTCTTCCAGATTTTACTAATTAATTTTCTTTGTCTTCAGGTCTTTTAGTAATTTCTGATGAAATTTTTTGTAGTCTCCTCTAGTCTTCTGGTTTTTTTAATTTTTCTGGTCTTTCTGTATTTTACTAGTATACTCTTTAGGTTTTTTTGTATTTGAACTGATTTTTAGGTCTTTCGATATTTTACTAGTGAATTTTATAGATGTCTTTTTCAGAAATTTTGGTATTCATTATAAAATTTTTTATAGTTCTTAGCTTTATTGGCGAATTTTCTTCTGGTTATATATTTTTTTTTTTACATATATATTGAGATTTTAAAGTCTGTATTGTATGATTGATAATTTTTAATAAATTAAATTTACTTTATTTAGTAAAATATAAAATATTTTTATTAAAAAAATTATATATAAAAATAAAAGAATATATAAAATATTTTTTATTTGGATTTTACTAGGTTTAATTATAGTAAGCATTAGACAAAAATCATTCTTTTTACTAGGATTTTATATATGATTTCTTATTCAATATTATTTTATATTAGAACTTCTAAAGTCTTTCAAAAAAATTGAACTAAAAAAGCTTTGTAAACTAGTATATAGCTTTATTTGTCTTAAATCTAGAATTTACAAGGTTTTCGACTCGAGTTAGGTTCTGAAACCTATTTTCTTAGGCCGAAACGTTTAGAATTTTGGCTATAAGTTGCAAAACCCTAAACTTGTACCAAAATCCCAAACAAGTACTGAAATCCCAAATTGATGCTGAAATCCCAAACTGATCCCAAATCCCAAACCAGTACTTAAATCCCAAACCAATGCCTAAATTCCAAACCAATGACAAAACCCTAAACCAATATGATTTTCCCAAACCTAAACTAATGCCGAAATCCCAAACCAGTACCAAAATCTCAAATCAATGCTAAAACCCTAAACCAATATGATTTTCCCGAAATCTAAACTAATGCTGAAATCCCAAACCAGTGTCAAAATCCCAAATCAATGCTAAAACCCTAAACCAATATGATTTTTCTGAAACCTAAACCAGTGCTGAAATCCTAAATTAATGCCTAAATCCCAAACTAGTAGCAAAACCCTAAACTAACATGATTTTTCCGAAATCTAAACTTATGCTGAAATCCCAAACCAGTGCTAAAATCCCAAATCAATGCTAAAACCCTAAACCAATATGATTTTCTCAAAACCTAAACCAGTGCCTAAATCCCAAATTAATGCCTAAATCTCTAAATCTAAATCCCAAGCTAATGCTAAAAATTTAAACCATTATTAAAATGGTGGTATTCATTTCTCGCAACTAAGGCTTGATAAATTTGAAATTAGGCTAGCCCAATTTTGCTAAGAACTAGGTGTCGTGAGAATCATATAAAACCATTTAATACATATCGATATAAGGATAAGTAAATATAATGATACTATTTGAATGCCTTATACTAATCTTTTTTGACTTCTATAATGTTTTATTTTCTGATAATAAACAATTGCTTAAAGTTTATTCTTTCAATGCAATATACGATTAGTTTTACTATACTGTATTTAATTTATTAATTTTAAATTAAGTAGTATTAATTTAAATTACATATGAATAGAAAATTACATTTATTCATTACAATTAATATCACAAATAGATATTAAAAAATATTGTATGAATCCTTTTGCACTTCAATTATTATAATTTCTACAAGTTGGTTGATTCTGCTAATTCTGATTTTAGATGATATGGAATTTCTTAAAATTTTCAAGTTTTATAAAGAGTGGGGGGTTAGGGCTTCTAGGTAACTGTGGATAAAACGGATATTAGTAACTAATTTAATAAATATTTTACTATTACTTTTTAATAATTTAAAAATATTTACCTCCTAATCCATTATTTAAGTTTAATTTCTAATTACCTAATTTTATTGATATACGCACTTGAAATATTAATTCTGCAATTCAAATTATATTTATTTCTATTCGTATTAATATAATTAGCAGTGTAGAACCAATTATTATACGATAAAATATGTGTATGAATGAATTTCATATGTTCACCTTTTTTCAGATCTATCACAACATCTAATACTAGATTATAGCGTTTCTATCTCGCAGGTATTTGATTATCGACCTCAATTCCAGTTACTAGGTACAAATATTCGACTAGATTACTTATTTTAGTATATATATGATAGTGTATAAATGCCTTACGTTCATACTTTTCAACTTAAATTCCGTTTACATAATTAGATCCAGTTACAAGTATAATATTCATTGAAGTCACCCATATTTGATAGCGAATTCTATTTCCATAACAATATTCAACATTGTGTGTTATATTAACGTTTTCCAACTCAGCGTATTTTGATAATAAGTGAACCTCAACTCCAGCTACCAATGCAAATATATTTGATCAGTATTGCTAATACTTAGTAAGAATTATCAATCGGATTCTAAAATACTATAAAATCAGTAAACTGAATCGATAGATGATCTAAGTAAACAAGTACTACACTTATTGTAGTACTATAGTAGCTGCATTATAAATTTGCTGAAAAGATCTAGATCTGTTTGAAGTTTCGAAGATAAGATACAGTAGTTGTTAAAAATATTAAATTTAAATATAATAGTACGATACCAGTTTTTTATTTACAGCTGTTTTCAAAAAGGTGTGAACAGATGCTTAACAAAATTTCTCAGATTTCTAGAATTTCAAAGCATGAATTCTCTAATTTTTCAATTTTCTGCATAGGTATATAGAAATTGTTGTTCACACCTTTTTGAAAACAGCTGTAAATAAAATTTGTCATTATACTTACAGAAAATTTTTCAAAAACTAACAAATGAATCAATAACATAATGTTGAGATTGCTGGCTCGAATATTTTATTTAAAGTAGCGACTAATGTGAAAGAATTAATATTTAAGATAAAGTGAATTAATCACAATTCAGTCACTATAAGATAAATAAAAAGTGGTCAGTTATGAATATTAAAGAAATAAATAAGAAAAAAGAATTTACCTTGTAAGAATAAGTAATATGTGTTTAAAATAACAAAAGTTGGCATCGAATTTTAATGATAAATTAAATAAAAGTCAAATGCATCAGTGCAAAAATATCATACTATTAATAATGCTTTGCATGTTGCATATAGATATCTATGTAGAGTCAAAATTCATTTCGTTTTGTTATTGCACTTCTATAAGGTCAATTAACAAGTTTTATATCAGATTTCAAATAAAACATGCACAAGAAAACTTAGTACATGTACAAAAAAAAACCATACAAGAAAAAAATATATATAAGAACAAAAATATGTATAAAAAAAAAAAAATGTACAAACATGTACGAAAAAAAAAATATACACATATATGCGTGAGAAAAAACTTCTAATTATAGTTCAAAAACATTTCTCCTAATTCAGCTAGATCATAATTTTCTTCTTGATTGAATTTTTCTAACTAGTCGCTTGGTCCTGCCTCTAAAATGTCATCATCTATATCTGTTACAGTTTGCTTACTTGCTTCTGACAAAAATGATAAATTTGATAAATCTAAAGCTTCTTCTAATTCAAAAAACTCTTCTAAAACAATATCATCATCATCGTCAATACTAGACTGATTAATATTAGCATTCATTATCACTTGCTCAAAGGTAATTGCATCACTTTCTTCATAAAGGTCAGCATCATATAGTATTTTCCTAATATCCTCTGCTGATTTGTCTATACTATAACGTGGTAATTCAAATTTATTGTTTGCAATATAGTATGAACGAATTTGAGCAATTGCATCTAAATTTTTAATTAAAAGGTTTGTATGCCGTTGTCTATAAATCCAATCACAAATTGACCAAACTCACTCACAACTAGCTGCATGTGGTGAAACAGAAAACAATTTGATAGCTAATAATCGAAGATATGGAAATTTTGATTCACAAGTTTCTTACTATATTTGAGAACTATCAACATTAACTGTATAAGATGTATTATAAGGTGCCTTTTGAACATGATAATCACGTAATTGTGCTATTAAAATTTGGCCTGCTATTTGTTTAATATGTTTGTTTTTTTTTAATATTATAGTGATACTATTGGTTTTCATCATTTGTTGTCATATTGCAGCTGCAGTAGTACTAATTCGTAAAAATTGACCTTCAACAATACCAATACCTAATAAATTTTTATAATATTTATTCATTAAATTATAAACTTTAATATAAATACGTACTATATAAATTTAAATTATACTTGCCATGATATCCTAGATGCAAGTAATAAGCAAGTAAATGCTCATCAAAGTCAAACTCTTTAAAGTAAGAATTAAAAACTTTTATACAATGATAGCGAAATATTTTGTGTTCAATTTCTGATATTGTTTTGATAGCCGCTCCAAGTTGTGCAAGCCCAAAAAAACAATCAGCAAGATTTGCATCTTGTTTTTCTAAAAAAACAATCATATTTTTAACAGATTTGAGAATGTTTATTAAATCGTAAATATCTTGAAAAATCCTCGTTTTCGCAAAATAATAGTCTGAACCATTTCATTTATTATAATATTAGGATTTTCATTAATAACCTTTAAAGATAACGATAGTTAGTATATTTAATTAATAATACATATTTTGCTAAAATATAATA